CCCCCCCCCCCCCAGATTAGCATTCGTTGGCTGGGGAGTGGGGGGGGCAATGGTTGGTGCTCCTCCTGAGAATGTGATGGCGCTGAGAGAAGTGCCAGCGGCATTTCTGGTTTGCGATTGGCTGCTGAGGGAACTAGCCCTCTCCCATGGTCAGCAATCGGTCCCCAGGATCAGGAGGTACCAGTCGCCGATATCCATAATGCTGCCATCCAGCAAGTTGTCACTCATTTTGTTTGTATTTTTAATTATTCTTCCCAAGGAGCAGCAACTTGCATTTGTCAGCACTGAACTTCACCTAGTTAGCTTCAGCCCAGCTTTCCAATCTGTTGAGATCCTTCTGTGCTCTAGTACTCTAATGTACTCACAACCCTTCCCTGTCGTGTCATCTGCAAACTTGCTCAAGAAGCTTTTTGTTTAGTTATGTTGATATCTAGCATGAGAACAGAGATGGAGGGTTAAAATATGAAAATCAAGCTAAGTTTATGGTACTGGTAGTCTTACATTCTGCTCAGTTAGCACATTTTATCTGGAGCGCACACTCTCCTTTTGTAAACTTGATCTTGCAGTACCATTTAGTCATTTAACGCAATATACCTGTACTATGCGTTGAGCTCAATAACTGCTAAAGCATATGCTGGATTTGGGTAGTTCTTCTGTGTATGCAGCTCCTTCACACTGCAACAGTGTGAGAGAGAACTTGACTGTTGTGCCTGCAGTTGCCTTCCCTGTTTGTGTGTTTAAAGCTGTGTCTTATGTGTAGCTTTTGAATTCTCAGGGGCATGTTTGTTTGTTTGTTTGTTTAGATCTACTAAAATCTGTGATTTAAGTTTCTCCTTAGCCCTTAACCCTGGTTCCAAAGAATACCATATCTTCTCACTTAGACCATACCTTGGATTATAATACACACCTTGTTTTTGAAAGGCAGAATGAGGAGAAAAAGATCTTTCCTTGTAATAAGCATCCGGGAATGTCTCCTAGCTAAAGGAAGGGGCCGTCACCAGGGAGGACTATACTGCGGTTGCTCGGGGATGTAGGGGGGCAGTCAGGAAGGCCAAGGCGGGGATGGGACTGGGACTGGCTTCCCAGATCAAGGACAACAAGAAGTCCTTTTCTAAATATATAGGGGGCAAACAGAAGGTTCCGGGTAATGTGGGGCCCCTGCAAGACACGCTGGGAAATTTGGTCGTCACACCAAACGACAAAGCTAACATAATTAACAACTTCTTTGCCTCCATTTTCCTAAGCAGGGACCAGAACAGCCACCCTCCCTCTGGACCCCCCCTTAAATCCCTGGGGAGGCGCACCTAGGCCAAGGGTCAGCAAGGATCTAGTCAGGAAACTTCTGGAGGGACTGGATGTATTTAAATCAGCTGGTCCAGATGATCTCCACCCCAGAGTGCTGAGGGAATTAGCTGAGGTAATTGCGGGACCCCTGGCACGGCTTTACGAGCACTCGTGGTGCTCTGGTGTGGTGCCAGAGGACTGGAAGAGGGCTAATGTGTTTCCCATCTTCAAAAAGGGGA